CAGCTCTGCCTGTCACACCCCCTGGCAGGACTCTCTCTCCTGAGACCTCAGCACTAGTGGGATCCGGCCCAGGAGGGCTCCCCACGCACTATGTTTCTGGCAGGTAGGTTGCCAGGAAACATCAAGGCGCCGTTAAATTTCAGTTTCAGGGGACAATGAATAGGTCTTCAGCGTAACCACGTCCCGATAACTGCAGGGGACACACTTCTGCCAAAAATGATCCGCTGTGGACCTGAAATTCAAACTTAACTGGGCACCCTTTTGTTGTTGTTTCTTCACTGTTTGGGGTATTGCACTGGTTTTGCTCAGCCCGCAGCCCTACCCTCAGGCCAGGACCTGCAGTATATAGCTGCCTACACCTGCACCTGGCCTCCCTAACCTGATCTTGCACAGAAGATACCAGCCCACAGGACACTAGTCGCCCCCCATCTCCACCTGCCCTGGGATAGAAGAAACTGCCATTCACTCGGAACCTAAGAAGGGCGGTTCCTCCAAAAGCCAAACACACAAACACGTATTTCCAGTCTGTAGACACTCCAGGTGAAGTTTAAGCTGAAGAAATGTGTCAGATCCAAAGAGTTTCAAAGCCGCCAGAGTTCTACTCACTACGGGAGGGGAGGCGGGGAGGACGAGGCATTACCTGGTACCCACCTACAGTCTTGCTTCTTGCAGAACTGTCCCCTTGGGAGCTGATGTCATCAAGGATTCAGAATAGGCCTGCATGGCCTCCTTATCCTGTGAGCCCTTTTTACTACTACTCCAAAATAAATAGCATCTCTCCTAGAAGATAACCAAGCTAATTTATAGTTGACGTTGCAGCTAAACACAAAAGGCTTTACACAGTTCTTTTGATTTTTCAAGAAGCAAAGGGTAGGATGCAGAATTCCAGATTGCAACCACCGTTAATGATTGGAGGTGGCTGAGATTTGGGGAGTCACGTCGCCCTTCATCAAAGGCCAGTCTCTCCAGGAAACGCGCTTGGTCGGACAGACAGGCCAAGCTGAAAAGGGGTCTGTCCACCTGAAAGTTTAGGCTGTGGACGGGAATCCAGGTGGGGAACAGGCCGCGGTGTGGGCGGGGTGGATTGGCCACGAATCAGTGGGTAGAGCAGGTGGCAGGTGTTAAATCAACCAGACACAGAGATTTTTCTGTTAAAAGAATTTTGTTGTTTTTTTGTTCTGGTTTTTTTTTTTTAAAGAATGACTTGAGAAGAAAAATTTCTCTGAAGAGAAATTAAAATGCACGGAGTTTGCCAGCATGCAATCTTTTTGTTGGGTTTTTTTTTCAATCGGGACAAACAGAAACATGTTAAGGCCTAACCCCCGCTAAGCCAAAAAATACATAACGGGATAAATTTCAATTATTTGGCCTCCCGTGAAACCTGCAAGGAGGGGGCCTCAACTGTGTCACCGAGAAACAATGGCGTTCTCATTGGGTTTGGGGACCGGCACTGATCTGGGGGGCGAGGCAGGGAAGGGGCCCAAGCCACCATTTCACATGGTATCGCCACTCTCCTCGCTGTCCGCCTTCTGATGGACAATTAGGAGAGAGACAGAGGGGACAGGAGGTGGAGGCTGCCTTGGCCTCCGCCCCTGCTCCAGCCCCTCAACAGCGGGTCGCCTGGGCACCCCGCATGTGACTGTGTGTGTCTTCACCAGTGGAAGCCCACCCAGGGTGGCGTCCGTGGGCTGGGGGCATTGGCTTCTGGTCCCTTCCGCCCTCCCACCATAACTGAAGTCAGAAAACTGTAGGGAGCTCCCATCTGCTGACTGGAGTGACAGCCCTGCTTGCCTGGCAGTTGCTGGGACAAGTGACACGAGGATAGGGGCACCCAACGGTCTCATTACACCCAATGATCGTCAGGGGTTCGAATATCCGAGGCAGCGATGGGGCGAGAGCTGGCAACCTCACACCAGTGCCAACCTTTCCCGCCCCCCCCCCAGGAGGGGGATTTGGGAAGGTAATCAGGTAAGGAACTGAAAGCCCAGATTAAGAGCCTGGGAAGGTTTATTATAGTGTCAGCAAGCAAGCAAGTGTGCAAGCGGCCCCCAAGAAAGAGACAGAGCTGTTTCCAAAGCTGACGAAAGGAAGGCATTGTGGGTGGTCCAGGGGCAGCAGGGGGCTGGGCAGCACCCGCCACCACGGCCCAGCCTGGGGCCCCAGGACAAGGTGGGGGCCGCCAAGGTGGCTTTCTGGTGCATAGAGCCAAAACGGCCTCTCAGGACTCCCTGCCACTGAGCAGTGTCCCTTCCCCACCACGGAGCTGCTCACCCATCGCCGCCACTGCCCTGGGAGCCCGTGGTCACAGGCCTTGTCACCTATGACTGCAGTACATGCTCATCTTGCCCACTGGCGTCCAGACCTCAAGTCATTTCTCTATCCCCGAAACTCTGCATGGTGCCTTGAAAAAAGGACGCTGCTCACCAAAGGGGTATCATTGATGCCACGAATGAATGAAGGAATGAATGACACCAAGTATGTGTTGTGCCCCCTCTTCTTCCTGCCTCTAGAGGGTGGGTGCCTCAGGGCCCTCTCCATCTATGCGCCCACCCTGGTCCCACCACCTTCACTCACCTGGGTCTCCTCACTGGTCCCCCTGCTTCCGCCCCGCCCACCCAAGGACCTAGTCACCATACAGCTGCTGACCCTTAAAGCTTCCACTGGCTTCCTGTCACCCCTGGAATCAGTTCCAAGCGGTTCGCCCGGCATTACGGGGCCCAGCGTGATCTGCCCCCTCTCAGACACCACCTTCTACTCCTATCCACACTCCTATGGTTCCCTTCCAGCCACCCTGGCCCTACCGGATCGCTTCCAGAATGCTTCCAACATCCCTGCCTCAGGGTCTTCGCACTAGCCGTTCCTTCAAGTGGGACACTTTCCGTGCCGAGTGCTCCCTTAGCATTCACATCTAAGCTTCAATTCTACCTCTGAAGAGAAGCCTTTCCTGACTGTCTCTCTAGTTGTCCCCAGCCACCTGGGACGCTGTGCCCTCCCATCCAGTACCCACGTGTGGCTGTTGAGCCTTTGAAATGGAGCGAGTCCAAATCAGCACCCACTGTATGCGTAAAATACATACTAGATTTCAAAGACTTAACATGAAACCAAACAAAATATTAATGCCTGTTTTCTATATTGATGACATGTTGCCACGATCGTATTTGGGATATAGTCAAGTTAAATAACACATGATGAAAGTTAATTTTTTTACTTAACGTGGCTATGAGAAAATTTAAATTTAAAGTCACACACATGGCTCATGGTGTATTTCTACTGGGCGGTACCGCTCTAGCCTATCACGTTTTCTATCATCTTTATCACCAGTGAAATGGTCTTTTGTTTATTTGCTTGGTTTTCATCTGTCTCCCCGACTGGAAAGCCAGCCCCCCTACACCCCTCCCACCCGGGAGCAGGGGCTGCACCTGACAGAGCCTGGCACCCAGAAGGTACTGACTTGATGAACAAACCACTCAAGTACCAGGTCTCATAACCCAAAACCCACCAGCAGCCCCTCCAAGGGAGGGTCCCCAGGCTCCCAGAACAGGCAGAGAAGTGGCAATGCAGGGTACAGGAGATGCAAGGACCCAGTGATAGCTCCCCGCCTCCAGACACAGACCCAGGCTGAGGGCGTCCTCGGGCACAGCAGAAGGGACGGCTAGAAGCCCTTTTCCCCAGCAAGCAAGCAGTGGGCCGCTCGGCCCAGGCCGTGCTCCGGCCACCACCTACTTGGTTCCGGATTTGGTAGACGACGGGGATGAAGAGCAGGACACAGCCCAGGGCAAGGAGGACATACTGCGCGTAGTGTAGCACCTTGGGCATCAATACCAGCTGGATATAGAATGTCTGAAGGGTCTCACCCTCCATGGCCCCTCTCTGGGGAGGGAGAATGACAAAAAAATGGGCTGAGGCCACACACAGATGCCACCCCACGCCCCATCCCTCTTCCCACCCCCACTTCCTCATCTCAAGTCCGCTGGCCAAAGTGTTGGATGGAGCCTGCAGGAGGCCTCCCTTTCTTCCCGGACCGCACAAGGATACTACATTTCCCAGACTCCCTTGCAGTTGGGCAAGGCCATGTGATCAAATTCTGGCCAATGGGACGTGGGCACAGGAATGTTACACCTTCCACACCTGGCCCGTGAAAACCTTCCAGGTGATTCTCTCCATCACTTTCCCCAACCACTGAACGCGGGGTGAATTCTGAGGGCCTCAAGGGGGGTAAGACCACAAGATGGAAGGAGCCTGGCCGACCCTGAGTGGCTGGGTGGAGCAGAGCCCCGCCTCCCACCAGCACCCATCAGACTGTGATGGGAACTTGACATTCGGAGGCTGCCTGCGCTGGCCCTGAGCTCACCCAGATTGAAAACAAGCTAGGCCACAAGGAACCCTAACAAGCGAGGGGAAAGTTCAAGTGAAAAGCTGACACCCTGAAAACCAACTTCTCTTGTCTCAGAAGCTGTGGAGCCCGTTTAAAAAGCCAGTACACCCCTGGGGCTGGGGCTTTCCAGTTCCTGGCAGCTTCTGTCTTCCCCATCTCAAGGGACTCGGAGGCGTAACTGACAAAGTGCCTGTAGAAGGTGAGGTTGCTCGTAGGCTGCTCGGGGTCCCCCAGGCCAGCTCCCTTGGCCCAGCCCCCCACCCTCCACTAACAGGCCCCTGCCTCAAATGCCCACACTGGCTCCTCACTGGGGTCCCAGATGCCACGCCCAAGGGCGCCCAGTGCAGGGAGAGAGGTGACCTTACCTCTTCAAACCACAGCAGCGGCAGGACCACCGGCTCTATCTTCCCGGTTTGTCTGGAAACAAGTGAGACAAAGCCAGTGAGAAGTTTCGTCAGGGTGTTTTCCATCAGGCGACTTTGGACATGGGGTCAGACGCCAGAGTCAGGAGCGACTCGATGGGTGCAGGCTTGAGAAATGGGTATGTTCTGGCCGGGAGCAGCCTGACAAATCGGACAAGACCTTTTTCAATTAAAAACTCACATCTCCTAGGTGGCAGGGGCAGCCCATGACATAGCCGACAGCCAGTTGTCCCTTTTAGAAAGAGAACCCCAATTTTATTCAGGATGGCGATGCACCCAGCCAACAAACAGTGTGGCTTATGCTGACCACCTGTTTTCCTTCGGGGACTCTGGGACTCGGGTGCCAGGCAGAGGGTGCCTGGGTGACCAGCCCCCCATAAACACCCTGGGCGCTGAGTCTCTAATGGGCTTCCCTGCTAGATGACATTTCACACATGTTGTCACAGCTCGCTGCTGGTAAGGACACCCAGTGTGACTCTCCTGGGAGAAGATTCTAGAAGACAGAGCCTGGTTTCCTCCCAGCATTCCTTTGCTAGTTTTGCTTTGAGTCCTTTCGCTGGAATAAACCACATGCTGGGTCCTGTGAGTCTTCCCAGCAAATCATCAAGTCTGAGCGTGGTCTTGGGGACCCAGGCACAGCCACTTACTCGCTCACCGTGTGACCTCAGCCATCTCCTCTGTAAAATGGGGCTTTTAACGGATTCCTCACAGGGCTCTAAGTGAGGGCTGGGCGACACGAGCAAAGTGCTGAGAAAAACGCCCGGCATAGAACAAGTGCCCCATGTGTATCGTTCTTGTTGTTGGCAGCCGCCATGAATGGTGGCCACACAAATATTCTGTAGCTTTCCCATCCTTGGCTCTGCCGAAAGACACCGCCGTACGGAGGAGAGATGGAACTCAGCACAGGAACCAGACTCGGCACAAAAGGCCAAATCCTCGATCGCAACCCTCCAAAACCTCTCGGGCCACCGAGTAAGGAGAGCACTGTGCAGTGTGATGAATTTACACAGCATCACCCACAGAGGAGAGAGACAACGGGATGGCCGTTCGCTTTGGCTCTTTTATCTGCGCTTGGAAGAACTGATGTAAATGTAATGCACACAGCATTTCATCTCAAGATAAAGATCTTGTGAGCAAACAGCACAAAATTCCTAGACAAGGCACAGCTGACCAGCTCTGCTTCTGGGCGGCAGGGTCTCCAGACCTTTCCCACGGCCATTCCTCATCAGCCCTCCAGAGGGCGACATGCACTGCGGTTGGGACCAGCTCCCTTGAGACCAGCGCTCCAGCTGGCAGGGGCCATCAGGCAGCTGTGCAGCCGTCATTCTCAACAGATGGGGACACGGAAGGCCAGGGAGGTCAGGGTAGCAGCCCGGCACCCCCCAACTGGCAGAATCCAGCAGTCGAGCTGATGGCTTGAGCAGCCTTGATGGAGAATCTGAATTCGCTCTCCCAACAGGTGAAAACTGAGGGAGCTCATGTTAAAATCCAGACATTTGAAAATGCGACGGATGGGGCCACACTGGCTCCTTCCTCTGGTGCTGGGCAGGGGCGGCCCTTGGCCCCGGCCCCACCCAGCCAGCGCAGCTGCTCTGAGTCACCTGTCCGCCCCAGGGTATCTGCGTTAGCAGACCAGGTGCCAAGTGCCCTGGGCCCCGGAGCGCCAGCCTGGGCGGCAGACACCTGGCATGCACGTGGTGCTGTTCCATCGCCCGTACATCCTTCAAGCACAAACCCTCTGAGCAGCCTCCGCATGTGAAAATAAAAAGGCAGGTGGGCGTGTAGACGCACTTGCACTTTTCCCTCCTTGTCGCTCTCGGACAGAGGGCTGTTCCTTCCGGCTGAGAGGAGGTTCACAGTGCAGAACAGGTGCCCACATTTCCGCTGCCCAGAAATCTTTCTAGGAGAATTTTTGTTGTTGTTAATGAAACGATGTCAATTATGCTGAGAAGTACAGTCATTGACATAAGGACGAACCCGTGCTCTGTCAAAACGTGATGTTGTAATGAGGCTTGGCAAGGATGTGAAGCGGGGGGTCTCTCCTACACTGTTGGGGGGAATGCAAATGGGGCAGCCACTGTGGGAAACAATCCTGCAGTTCCTCAAACGCTTAAACATCAACTTCCCATATGACCCAGCAATCCTGCTCCTTGGCAGGCCCAAGAGAAATGCGAGTGTTTGTTCACAGAGAAGTTTATACATGAATATTCACAGTAGCGTTATTCACAATGGCTAAAAAAATCAAAACAACCCAAATGTCCATCAGCTAATAAATAAAACATCATCTGTCCATACCATGGAGTATTTTATAGTCTATACAAAAGATGAAACAATGACACACACTACAACATAGAAGAGTCTTGAAAACATGATGCTGAATGAAAGAAGCCAATCCCCAATAGGACCAGATATTAGATGATTCCACTTACAGGACATGTCAGGAAGAGGCAAATCCATAGAGACAGGAAGTAGATTAGGGGTTGCCTAGGACTGAGGGAAACGGGGAGTGACTGCTAATGGGGAAGGGGCTTCTTTTGGGGGTTGATGGAAACGATCTAAAAGTGATCGCGGTCATGGTCGCACGGCTCTGTGACCAATCTGCTACAATCACTGAATTGTACATTTTTAAAGGGTAGGTGTTATACATGTGAATTAAATCTCAATAAAGCTGTTACTCAAAAAAACCGAAACAAGAAAATTCGTGCTTAAAAAATTCCTCCCGTAGAGTGAATCGTCGCAGTTATGAATGCTGCCTGGTAAGTTTCAAACACTTGGCTTTGCCTGGACTTAATTTCTGCCACTCTGTTGAGTGGGAAACTGCTTGGATGGAAGATTCGGGCTAAACTGGGGGGCAAATGTTAAGAGGGAAGAAAAAGGCAGTTCTGGGGCAGGATGTCCAGGTGTGGATGTGGCCCTGGCCCAGAGCTAGGGCCCCCCCCCCCCGTTAAGGTAACAATCACAGGGGCCAGATTCCACACCCAGTAGGGCCGGCTCCCTCCCCCAGACCCCAGTCCCTGGGGAGGTGGCTGGAGTCCCGAGTCCCTGCTCTCTGAGTCCCTGCTCTCTGAACGGCATGGCAGTCCCGCTCCGTGGCCCCACTCACCCGATGCCTTTGATGGCCTTGATGTAGAGGCTCAGCTGCAGTTTCACAGAGCAGTTCATGGGGATTCCTGTGACCTGTGACAACACACACAGTGAGGGGAGTGGCCCCAGGGACACCTGCAAACTCCCCCTCTCCCTTGTCCTGCTCAAGAGGGTGGGCATTCCAGCTCAGCTGCCCAGGCACTGAGGTCTCTACTGGCTCTAAACCCTAAACGGTAAACACACGCTTCCCAAACGGCTCTTTCATCCATGACCTCGAGGGACCCCGTCTAGAGAGCGAGCCTCTCCCTAGGTGGAAAAATCCTAATCCTTCTGGCCTGCTGCTTCCCCAAGCAGAATGACCTTTTTTCAGTCACCACCCCTCCCCCACCAATCAAACAAAATAGATTTGCGTGTTGAGACAGTCTCTTATCAATTCACCCTCCACATTTCCTGATCATCTCCAACCTAATGACATGTCCCCCTTGTTTATTTTTATGGTGGCCTTCTTTTTACGGAGAATTTTTAAATTTCCAATTTGAGGTAGTGATACAAAAAGCTTTCTTTGTGTAGAATCTACTTTTTTTTTTTTTTAACGAGACACCTTTTTAAAATAATAAATAAATAACAGAAGTGACAGACATAGGACCAAAATCAGGAAGGTTCTGGAGTGAAGTGAGGAAACTGCAGTGAAAAGGGAGCCAGGTTTGAGGCCAGGGGATGACCACCCTGCTTTTCAGCTCTGACTCATTTCCTCATTTGTTAAATGGAGACGCCCCACCCACCCCACCTCACAGGGTTTCTGCAAAGGACAAGTAAGGTCTGCAGGCCAGCCACACTCAGTCCATCAACGTCTGCTGTCACCCCGTCCTGGTGGAAAAGCCCAGCATTCTGACCACCTCCAGGGCCCCCACGGCAGAGAGGAGCAGGTCAAAGGCCGTGCTCCCAGGACCTCAGGAACCTGGTGGGATGGGAGGGAGGTCCCCTGTGTGCAGAAAAGTGCCAACAGCAGGCCGAGGCTGCCCTCCTTACGACAGGCGGCTGGTGAGCTTGGCCCCTGGCTGGCCTCTGGGAACCTGCGATTCGTTTCGGGAAGCGTTCCCTCCGTTCCTGATCAGAGGGGCTCACTGCGCCTACACTCCCTGTGCAAACTGTGGCTTATGCTGACCGCCTGCTTTCCTTCGGGAACACTGGGATTTGGGGGCCAGGCAGAGGTGACCAGCCCCCGAAAAATATACCAGTGGGTGCGGAGTCTTCCCTGCTGTGACACATGTTGTCACAACTCAGTTGCTAGGGAATTAAGCACATCCTGTGCGATTCCCCTGGGGGCTGGTGCCTGGTCGCCCCAGACTTCATCCCAGCGCCTTTTCCTGCTGCTGACTGGGCTTTGTGTCCTTTTGCTGGAATACACCTTGACCCTGAACATGATCATATGCTGAATCCTGCCCGTCCTCCTAGCAAGTCATCCAACTTGGGGGTGGCCCCTTCCACTCTCTCAAACAGACTCGACATCCTGAGGTCAAGGCCACTTCCTCCCCTCCTTGGCTTGTTCCTCCAGCTGCTGTCAGGACACCTCTCGGTGGACAAAGCCCCGCCTGCTCCCCCCGCAGAAACGTGGACCCGGGACCCCACCGCTGTCGCCACACCCTGCCCGGGATTCAGGAGCAGAAAAGAAGCCACAACAGAAGCAGCTTCCACGGGCATTCTAACAGGCAGCAAATTCACCCCATGATCAGACTCCACCAAGTGCCCAACAATAAGAAAATGCAAGGCCACTTCCTCTCCCTGCTCCCTCCATGACCTAAAACAAGAGAACAAGGAGAGGCCAGCTGTGTGCATCTCTGTGGCCTCCCAGATGTAACTGCCTGTTTCTCAATATGGGGGTGGGAGGGTGGGAAACTCACGCACTGCAATGAAAGTCACCAGCGGGAAGAGCGAAGAGATTGAGTCATTGCTGGAATTCCTCAGAAGCCAGCAGAGAGACAGTGGGGGCAGTACGATAAATGAACCACGAGAAAAGGTGCACGTCATCTGCTAGCTTTACCATAAAAACCTTTTAAAAGCTGGTGAAAATTTTAAAACAGTAGGGAAAAGCCTTAGCATTTCTAACAATAAAGAACAAATGTAACAGAGGACACATAGTATATTAATATGAATTAATACCCACATAATTAATAGTAACTGTGTATTAACACGGGACATAATGCCGTGGGTATTAGAAGGTTTGGTGTTAGAAGGCCTATGTTTGAATTCAGCCTTATCCCTTACTTTCTCTCCATCATTTATCAAACCCACGTTTACTGAGATACTGCTACCACTGTGCTAACTGCTAGAATTCTAAGTAATTAACAAGGCAGAAGAGGCCCTTCCCTTAGGGGGCAAACGATCCCAGTTACTAGCTGTGTCCCTTAAGCTATGTGGACTGCAGCTCCCCCATCTGCAAGA